AAAATATTTAAAGCCATGAGTATATTATGACACCAAAGGGGAAAAAACAGTCTTCATTAGGGGAACCAGGGAATTATTATTATTTTTTTTAAACTGGTGATGGAAAAAAATAAAGCATTTCTAGAAGAAATGATAGACTGTCATCATCACTTTACGAGGATAACAAATACAGATTGATCATTCTAACTCAAAAATATGAAACACTTCAAAATCTGAAATCTTTTCGGCATCAACACAACGCCACAATGAAAAAATTCTGTATTATGAAACATTATTTATAATATTACACCATGAAACAATATTATGGACAATAATGCATCAAGTTCATTGCAGGCTACATGTATAAAGTAATATAAAACAGGAATAAATTTTGTGGTTTTTTTTTTTTTTTTTTTTTTTTTTTTGCAGAACCGGGGATTGAACTCAGGCCCTTGAGCTTGCCAGAGAAGCACTTATTCCACTGAGCCATCTCCCCAGCCCCCTAAGTTTTGTGTTTTAATTTGGGTCCCATCCTGCAGATATCTCATTCTTCATATGCAAATATTCCAAAATCTGAAATCAGAAAGCCTGTGGCTCCATGTATTTTGGATAAGAAATCATCCATCTGAAGTGAATTTAAGTGGATAGCAACAATGATGGACATCAGAAAAGAGTTAGGGTTGCAGCTCAGTGGCAGAGCTCAGGTTTAACATGTACAGGACCCTGGGTTCAATCCTCAGTACCTCAAATAAACAAAGCAAAACATCACTACCAACACCACCACCACCACCAATGAAAGACATTATGAACCAGGTATAGAAGTACGTACCTGCCATCCTAGGTGTACAGAAGAAGGATGATTTGAGCCCAGGAGCTAGAGGATAAGGCCACTGCTAGCCTGAGCGACTCAGTGACACCCCATTTCAGAAAAAAAGCAAAGCATGCATTAAGTCACTGAAAACAAACACCAGACAATGTGTGACTCTTTTATTTTGGAGGCACATGACCTAGTAAATATTTTTGCAGAATCAAATCAAATCTGAACTGATCCATGACTTTAAATACCAATTTATAAGAATATGAAGCGAATAAAATTTAAACTATCACCATGGGAATGCAGATGGTCTACAGGATAAGCCATATAGTTTGTTTGTTTACTTATTTATTTTTATGGTACTGAGGATCGAACTTGGAACCTTGTGCTTGCCAGGCAGGTGCTTATGCCACTGAGCTATCTCTCCAGCCCATCATGTAGTTTAACAAATTTCAAGAAAACAAAATTAAAATTGAGGAGGTACCTATGAATTACAAAACATTCAAGAGACATGTCAACCTACTACTATGTATAAAATTTATTTTGGTCTGAATCTGGAAAAATAATTACTAAAATAAACTACAAGGCAGCAAAACACAGTAATGGGTATTTGCTCACATTAAGGAATTATTTTTCAATGTGATAATGTAAATGTGTATTTTTTTAAAACAACATCAAAAAAAAAAAAAAAAAAAAGAAAACCTTTATCAGAGGCTCTGGGTTAGCTCAGTTAAGTGCCTGCTGGGCAAACCCAGTCAGGCACTGAAGACTGCGGTTCGATCCCCAGCTCCCTATGCCTTACCACACCTGCCATTAAGCAGCCTGAGCCAGCCAAAAAAAGAAAAATCCTTCTCAAGTTTTGGTTGGGGAGATAGCTCAGTAGAATAAATGCTTTCCTGGCAAGTGCAAGGTCTTGAGTTCACTCCCCAGTGCAGGGGTCAGGGGGGAGTTGCACACAACAAGTTCAACTTTATTTTTTGTGATGGCCCCACCCTCAGGGCACACTGAGCCGTAGAGGCTCGAGCCTGTAATCCCAGCGCTTGGGAGGTTGAAAACAGGAGGATCACTATGAGATCTTATAGACCCTGTACTAAATTTTTCTGAGACACATGCTGAAAAATTTCCTACTGAAATCTGATGCCACTAAGCATGGTGGTGTATATGTGCAATTGCAGCACTTGGGAATCTGAGGCAGGAGGGTCACTGTAAGTCTGAGGCCACCCTGGGTGAGACCCTGTCTTTTTTTAATTTTTTTTTTTTTTAACATTTATTGTGTGTGTGTGTGTGTGTGTGTGTGTGTGTGTCCAGCTCAGCCCACCAGGGGGCGTGGCTGGCTGGCATGTGGTGCTGGGGGATCAAACCGTGGTCCCTGTGCTTTTCCAAGCTTGTTCCAAATAGGTGCTTTAGACCACTGAGCCATCTCTCCAGCCCCGAGACCCTGTCTTTAAAAAAAAAAAAAAAAAAAAAAAATGCCTGAGCTTTGCTTCAAAGTTAGAACTGTGGAGTGCTGGGGAACTCTGCCACTGGGATGACCTGCACACTGGCATCCGGCGGCCTATTCTCTGCCTCTGCACGTATTAAACACTATTAGGCAGGCATGGCGGCCTGTGCCTGTGATCCCAGCTTTCGGGAAGCTAAGGCAGGAGGAGTGCAGCAAGTTCAAGACAAGCCTAGGCAACTTAAGATGGATTGTACATCCCAAACTGGAGCTACCCCAAGGACAAAGATGACCGCGAAGAAATCTCTAAATGTGTTTAGCAGTGTTATTAGCAACAAGATCAGTTATCATTTTTAAACTGTTACACAGATTGAAGAACAAAGCAGATAAACTGAGCAAGGGGGAACACACCTGTGACCCCAATTAAGAGGGCCGGGCGGGATTGGAAATCTAAAGTCAGGCTGGGCAAGAATTTGTCCCAAACAAATACATAAATAAACCAGCTGGAGATGTAGCTCAGTGGCAGAGTGCCCCTGGGTTCAGTCCCCTATACCAAAACACAACAAGCCACAAGTGGGTACAGTCACTCAAATATAGAATGTGCTTAATTTTGTAGAAAAAAATGCTCATAAATGAATGGCATTAAAAAAAAAAAAAAAAGTAGAGGTAGGGGCCGGCGAGATAGCTCAGTGGTCTAAAGTGCCTGCTTAGGCAAGCTTAGGCAGATGCAGGGGACCGTGGTTTGATCTGCAGCACCACATGCCAAGCCAGCCCTACCCTCAGAGCAGGCTGAGCCGGCCACACACACACACACACACACACAAGGGTGAGCTGGGGATGTAAGAGAGGAGCTCACAGGAGAGCAGGTATAAGGTCCTGGGTTCAACTCCCAGCACAGAAATAGAGTTAGAGAGGGAGAGATAGAGATAGGGAGACTGTTAGAAACTAAGAAATTTGGAGGCATAACAACTAAATACTGTTTATCTTATGTGGGTCCCGAATGAAACCAACAGTAAAAAAATACTTTTTTTGACCCGGGGTGGGGGTAGGGTTAACTGGAGAAAATTTATACGGACTGAAGAAAATTGCATACTTTGTTGGCTACCATGGTGTTGTAACTCCTTTCTTGATAAAGCAGAGGCACATGTATGTCACTGTAGTGTAAGAAGCTGAAAAAGTAACTTGTTTCTTAGAGATACACACTTCAGCATTTATAGGTGGCATGTGGTTGTTTAGCACTTGCTTTAAAAATAGCCAAAGAAGGCACAGAGCAGGAAGCAGAGGGGGTGGGGAGGATTAGGTGAACGGAGAAACTCAACAGCACGTTCATGGGTGGTAAGCCTAGGCTTGAGATAGCAATCTCACTACTTGTGTGTGCTTGGAATTTTTCATAAAAGTTAACAACATAGAGAATAGCTTTGCAGAGTCAGATGAGCAATGGCCAGGCACTATTTTGACTGCTCTGGAACTTAAAGGGACAGGAAGGAATTTAAGGCCATAAAGGCTGGGAAAATGTGGGGGTCAGGGAGATGGATGGCTCAGTAGAATAAGCGCCTCCCTGGCAAGCACAGGGGTCTGAGTTCAATCCCGGGACCTAAGGATGAGGGCCGATGTGCAGCGTGGGAGGGAGGCACAGCGGTGCTGGGGTCCTCACTAGGCACCTGCAAGGTGCATTCCCTATTCTGCTATGGCTGGAGCTGGCAGTTTGCTCCACAGACCCACTCTCCTGCACTTGACCTCCTCCTCCAGGTCAAGCACCAAGAGTGTTGGCCTATGGCTCCATCTGCTGGTAGAATCTGGGAACTGACGCGACCAAAAGTTTAAGAGCTCCCATGAACAAGTTGAAGATGAAGTGAGGGAGATACGGTCCCTCCTCCTTTAGAAAAGACAAACGCTTGCAGTTAAACATATAAGAAGCCTTTAATTTCATCACCATAAACATTATACTCTGATTGCTCACGTACAGTATAAAATATTTACTCCGCTAAATAAATAAGACATAACATTATTGCAAACGGCACTTAAACCCCGAGCGAGAGCAGTAAGAGCTCCTGGGCTCCGGCGGGGGTGCTCCTGAGTTGCTGGGGGATTCCTGAGCCCAGATGCACCCCGGGGGCTGAGATGGTCCAAGGCTCAAGGAACCACACTTGTGCTTCTGGTCCTGCAAAGGCCCCAAACTGGTTGAGGAGCCAGCGGGAAGAAATGGGGGGCAGTATCTTATCAGCCTGGGAGTCAGGCTGGGGCAAGAAACAAGAGACTGGGACACCCGGGGTGCCTTCCACTTTCCCATAACCTCCCAGCTCTGGGTAAAGACATCTGGGTACCAACTCGGGTGAATAGAGCTTCCAAGGTCCTGGTCTAGGCAGTTTTGGGGGCCAGAACCAATACCCCAGGAGAAGGGGATGATAGCAACGAGCACTATTTTGGGAGACCAGGTTACTGCGGATCTCATTCTACCCACCTCCTAGATACCAACACAGAAGACCTAGGAATAGATTTCCTTCCCTTCTACTTTGTTAAATAAATAAGTTAAATACTTAAAGTCCTGTGTGTCCCCATGATGGCAAGTCAGGGGCCCCTGCCCTGTGCTAAGAACAGGTGGAGGCAGGGCCTGCACGCAGGCCACATGGTATCACCCTGTCCCTTAGGACTGTTACTACAAATAGCTTCCTCTTTTTTTTTTTTTGGTGGAACCGGGGATTGAACTCAGGCCCTTGCGCCGCCAGGGAAGCGCTTATTCCACTGAGCCATCTCCCCGGCCCCGCTTCCTCTTTTCTAATCCTGGGGTTTCAACCAGAAACTTCCACACAAGAGCAACACTTGGCAACGTGGGAGGAATGCAGGATCCGGGGGCTGGAGGTGGGGGCCAGGCAGCTGAGTGTATTCAATATTCTTCTCTGAGTGTACCTCAACTCAGTGCTGGCTGCTCCCCCACCCCCAGCCTGGGGGACCCCCTACAGAGTCCTGTGTTCCAGTGCATGGAGCTAATCCGATGCTCTGCCCTTAGCTCCCTGCCAGACTGAAGACCAGTGGGGCAGCTACCAGACAGCGCGCCCTACAGACTGGGAAAACGCGAGAGAAGCCTCAGCCCCCATTTGAGGTTATGCACCATACAGCCACGGAGTGGCAGAAGAGAGCCACGCTACTTTGGCAGCCAGGAGGCCCTAGAGCCCCACTGCAGATTGCTGGGACCCACTGAGGAGGGGCCTCCTTCAGTATTCCGATCTCTCTACACTGAATATTTGGCCAAGTCGCTCTTGTCAAATACTACCTGTGTAGCAAAATAAATGGCCACTAGACCCAAACCCGCAGCTGACACCATATATGCAGTGACAGACTGGCTGAGTTGGACGATGGAGCCCATAAACAGCGATGGGGCCACCTGGGACAGCAGAAAAGCACTGTCCAGGATGGCAAGGTCCAGGCAGATGCCCCGACCTGGGACGACCCTGGCCTCGCTCGGCTCACCCACCACCACTCGCATGGAGACGTCACAGGCCGGGGCCCCGCACAGCCCGGCTGGGGCAGGGAGTAGGCTGCTGCCAGCACCCACGTGTCCATTGGGGAAGGGCGCTCCTGATGGCAGAAAGCTGGTCACAAGGCTGTCCTCACTGCCACCACCTCCAGGGTCCCCTCGGTATTTGGGCAGGAACACCTAGGGGTGAGAAAGAGGGGTGAGGACAAGTGTACAGCCTGGCACTGGGGTCCCCATGTGTGAGACCAGATTTCAGGGGCTAGAAGAAACCCACCTGGGGGCCTCATGACAATCAGGCAGCCCCTCCTAAAGAGTGGGAGAGGACGACAGGGCAGAATAGGGCAAATTAGAAACTAGAACCACCAGGCCGAGTCACAAGAACAAGGGGCAAAATCCAAAGGAGGGGCTCTTGGTGGCCCAAACCCTACTCAGGCTCCAATAGTCCTCTTCCTCCCTGTCTGTCTGTCCTCACTTGGCCATCAGAAATCCCCATCATACTGCCAAGGTGCGTCCCCCCCCCCCCATGGTCCCAGGCCCTGGCTGGAGTTGCTTCCCATAGTGAGGTCCCTGCCCAAGCCTTGGGCCTATGCCGTGGACCCTCTGCCTTCCTTCCTGCTGCCTATCTGCTTGACCCTACCCACCCCTGCCCTGCTGCAGTGATCGGCCTTCCTACTGAAGGACAAGGCCAGGCCTTATTTATGTACACTGTTCCCAGTGTCAGTCGGTGTCTAGCACAGAAGAGTGCTTGAGCTGGTTGCATGAGCAAGCCAGAAGCCATGGCAGGGCGCCAATCTGACAGCAAGGAAGCCCATAGCCCATCGCTCAGCTCAACAAGTAGCAAAGGACAAGCAGATGGCACGCAAGGCCAAGTCAGCTGTTGGCTCCTGTTGGAATGGACCTCCTGGGACCACTTTTCTCTGACTGACACCCCAGGAAGGAGCAGTAAGGCTGAAGCCTAGAGAGGCCCTGGGGATAGAGAACTGGTGCCAGCCTATCCCTTGGCACAACTGCATGTGCTCGGGCCTGGCCCCCAAATTGCCATTCCGGAACAGCAGGGGAGTAGGCCAGTCAGGGTCTCAAGGGCCAGGGGCCCTTACCCAGGCCCGAGCAAATCAGCCCGCTAGCTATTAATTTCTCTGCTATCCAACTCATGTCCTGCCAGGACAGAGAACGGTCTGCCCCACATTTTGGAAGCTCTGAGGGCAGGGGGTTCTACAAGCAGGGCTACAGCTTGCTTAGGTCAGGTTTCCCCAATTGACGCAGCATGCAGGTGAGAGGAGCTGGTATGTCAGGCTGTTATCTACCAAGGGAAAGGACGGAGGGGATGGGCAAAGGAGGAAAGCAGGAAAACAAAGAATTAGAAGAAAGAGGAGTCACAGAGGGCTGTCCCCATCTGAGACCAAAACAAGACACAGGTAGGCACATTCCCTGGGAAAGAGAGGAGTGGCTCCGGCCACAGCATTCCCAGTGCCATCTGCTGAAGCCTGGTGGCCCCAAAGTTACAGCATGCAGCCTGCCACCCCTTGGAGCACAGCCCAGGCCACACTGAGGGCTTCTGCTAGCCTGAGTCTTCAGGATTCTTGGTAGAGGATTCTGCATTTCCTGCAATCCTCCACTAGAGTGGTTTACAGTCCCAAAGCCAGGAAGTCATTCCCAGAAACTAATCTGCACTCTTCTTTGGCAGCCCAAGCCTCTGGCCCGGGGCTAAGATGAGCTTCCCTGTGCAGAGAAAGCCTCCTGGCCAGACACCAGGTCTCTCTCTCAACTCCTACCTGCTTCTCTCGGTGATAGAGGGAGGCCAGTGTGTAGGGCAGGATCTGCAGGGCTGAGAAGGTGAAGCCAGTCAGGGCAGCCGAGGCTGTTACCACAGCCACGCTGCGGGACACGCATGTAGCGCCAGCAGCCACAGGGAAAGCTACCACGCTGGCCAGATAGACAGCTCTGGTGCCAAACCGCTGCACCAGCCGGTCCATGATGAGGGAGAAGAGCAGGGAGATGGCACACTGCAGGAAGAGTCCCAGGCTGCCCATGCGCACACCTGGGGGCAGAGAGAGCCGGGTAAGTGTCCTATACCCTCCTGGGCAGCCAGGGAGCTATCAGGGGAGCTGGGGACCGGGGCAGAGCATCCTCTCCCCAGAGCCCTTGCCACTCAACCCCCAGTGCAAGGTGCCAGGTTCAGCCACTGGCTCTCAGTAGAGGTGGCCAAAGCTGGTAGCGAAGGGCAGGGGAAGGCTGAGCTCTTCAGACAGCAAGGTGAGAGGGAACACAGACAGTACAGCCTTCAGAGTGGTGCCCCAGGGCTGGGTGTATAGACCAGTAGAAGAGCACCTGCCGGGTCTGTGCAGGGTTCTGGATGTATGTATGTATGTATGTATGTATATATGTATGTATGTGTGTATGTGTGTACGTGTGTATGTATGTATTTTAGGGAAGGGTCTACAGGGTGTTCAGGCTCTCACTACTAGACCAGACTTATAGTGATCCACCTTTTTACAGCCTCCCAAAAGCAGGGATTAGAGGCTGCACCACCACGCCCAGTCTCAACTGCCATCTCAGCACATCCCGGGGGCAGGGCTGGCACAGCGTGGTCTTATTGTAATAGGTTTTTAGTTGAGGTTTATTCTTTTGTTTCTGGTGCTGAGGACCAAACCCAGGGCTTCTAGCTTGGTAGGCAAGTGTTCTACTGTTGAGCTAAACCTTCAGCCCCCAGGGCCCTGGTTTTGATCCCTCCACCACAAACAGAAACAAGCAAAGTCAGTGCACTAGAATATTTCCAGTTATTTCAAAAGTTGGCAGGGAGTAGAGGCCAACCTGAGGTCCAGTTTCCATGCCTCCTTCTCCCTTTGGGCCTTGAATTAGCTCCGCTTTTCCTGCTGTCAAAGTGGGGCCATGAAGGGCCAGGGAGATAGCTCAGCAGCATAAGTGCCTCCCTGGCACGCACAAGGACCCAAGTTCGATCCCTAGTACCACACACACACACACACACACACACACACACACACACACACACAGGTGGGTCTCATTTCTTTCTTTCTTTCTTCCAATTTTACATACATATATTTGGTAATACGAATAACTGGTTTGAAGACAACACTACGTATTAAAACAAACACTGTGCAATTCATATTACTTTTGTTAGTTGAAATTCTGTATTGTAACTTTTTCTAATTCTAATTTGTACTCTCTTTAAAAAAAAAAAAAAAGTGGGTCTGACTGAATTCAGAGCACAGCCATCTGCAGATGGGGTCCCTTTGCTGTTCCTGATGGAGAAGTTGGGGCCCAGGCTATGTGCAGCTCCCAGCCCCGAATGTCCCCTACAGCGCAGCCTCCTCCAGCTTGGGGCCTTACCTTCATCATAGTGTCTCCGGGCCTCAGTGCCTGGCTCGGCTCTGGGCACACCCTGGTACAGTCCCTCGCCCACGAAGTCCGTGTAAAACAGAGTGAAGGTCATGAGCGCCATCCAGCTACACAGCTCAGCCACAAAGAGTCGGCGCAGGGTGCGTGGCATGTGGCAGCAGAGCTGGTGCAGTCGAGGAAACAGGGCATCCAGTCTCTGGAAAGCCACGTGGGTCCGGCATGGGCAGCAGTGTGTTGTCACAGAGGGCACTGATAGGCCTTCAACTGCCTCAGCTGGGCCCAACACAGCCTCCTCGGCCACAAACAGCGTGGCTGACATGCAGGTAAGGAAGATGAGCGTGAGCAGGCCGAAGAGGCACTCTTCCTGGGTGCCCAGGTAGGGGGCCAGGGCGCTGGTGTCCCAGTCAATAGCAGGCAGGAGGTAGCCCAGGCAGCCCCCAAGGCTGATCATGAAGGCATAGACAGAGAAGGCCTGGCGGCAGTGATCTGGGTCCCGGAAGAGGTCAGACAGCAAGGCTTCCAGAGGTGTGAAACACACCTGGCCACAGAAGTCCAGCAGCCCCACGCCCAGAATGAGCAGGGCCAGTTCAAGAGGCCTGGTGTCTGGGCACAGCAGCCCTGCCAGCCAGCCTGCCCTGGGGATGAGGAAGAGGCTGAGCAGGACACCCAGGGACAGAGCCCATATGAAAGGCCTCCGGCGGCCATAGCGTCCTCGCCACTGGTCACTGGCTGAGCCCAGGAGTGGGACAGAGACCAGGCCCAGCACTGGTCCGATGCCTACAAGAAGGGCAAACAGATGAGTCAATGTTAGGGGCTGGGACAAAGAAGGGGCACAGGGCAAGGGGCAGGAGACATGGCTCCTCAAGAAGGATGGAAATGATGCAAACTTCAGACTTGGGGCTCAGTCTTCACTGGGACTAACTTGTGACACAGAAGTGTTTCGAGGGCTCTTGTGTTCAGAGAAAGACACAGAGCACCTGAGAAGTGACACTAGGTGCCAAGGCTATGTGGGAGGACAGGCGGGGTGCCCCCCAGAGCCCAACTCCAGACTCTCCTTCCTGGGGCTGGGACACATCATCCATTGGCAGCCACTAGTCAGCTGTGGTGAGATGCCCTGCACACAGAGCCACCCCTGCCCTGTACCAGCAGGGAGACTCTGGTCAAGTGCCAGCTCTCTGTATCAGCAGCCACAAACTAGGGTTGCGACTCACCCACACTAAGACTCACCTAACCTCTCACAGGCCTGCTTCCCTCTCTGTAAAATGATAAACCCACAGGGCGTTGTAAGGAATAACTAAGATTACAGACCAGCATTATGAAAGGGTGAGACAAAGGCTGGGAACAGCGTGTCCAACATCTCCCAGGACCCAGGCAGTACACGCGGTACAGAGGTGGCTAGATTAGTACGTCTCTGAACTTGCTCTCTCTCAGAGCACCCTGTGGCCCAGGGTCACCCTGCTGCCCAGCAGGTGCATAGCCAGCCAGCAGCCACTCCCCCTTCCCCAGCTGCTCCTGGAGCTGCTGCTGCCCACATCCCAGGTGCACAGGTAGGCAGAGTGACTCACCCAGCACCATGGTCATGAACCTCTCCTCTACCCCCACTTCCAGCAGCAGAGGTGGCACATAGGTGATGCCTGCAGCCAAGCACACCTCCAGGCCAAAGGTCAGCAGGTTGACCAGCAGGAGCTGGGCCTTGCGATGCCGCAGCAGGCGGCTCCCCCACAGCCTCTGGACCATGATGGGCCGGGCAGGTTGGGCTCAGGGGCACACACTCCACGACGGCTTTGTCTCAGCTTTGCTCTGGATGCTGCTGTTGAGGCTTCTTCTTGCTGCCACCGAAGGCCTAGGATTCAACTGGGGATCCATTTCCACCAGTCCTGTAGTACAGGTCCAGGGTTTCGGCCCGGGCTCAACACCTGTTGTCACGCATCGCCTCGGTGGGGACACATCTCACCACTGGGCTCCTAAAAGGGCAGGAGGATCACAGTATATGAAGTGTCAGGTCCTGGGAGCCGGGTTTCCAGGATTTGCCCTGAATTTTTGAAATCCTGCTCATTTGCATCCCAGTGATGTGGTCCTGGCCCCTTGGTGCTACACCTGGCTGCCTAGTCAGGGAATGTGTATTAATATTAGCTGAAGGCTGACATAATTAATGAGGTAAATATGATTTTTAAACTTCAGCAACCCCCGGAACCAAACAAAGGCCAGTTACTCTCTATTTTGGAATATCTCTGCAATCGCCCTTGCCTGTCAGTAAAGAAAACCAAAATCAAGCCAACTCTATTCTCAGTTGCGCAGGCCTGGCTCTCCAGGGGGCCTTGGGGCCCTCTGCCTCTGCCTGGTCTGGGTTGTTTGCTCTTCTCTGTCCAACTCCCAGACCTGGCTGCTCAATTCCCCTTTGTTAAGAGTGACACTTCCGATTCTGCACCTCGAGGTCCCGGCCCGTGTTGCATCACAACCTCCACCCCAGGGCAGGGACAGAGGGGAAGAGAGGAAAGGTTGTGGTTTGCTGGGCTGGGTTTCAACCTGTCAATGAAAACCTTGGTGATCTAGGACAGAAAACCTCTCCCTTGAGCTTCACCCAGGTTCAGTGCATGGGGGGATAGACAGTCTCACCCACCAGTGACTGTGCAACTTTCACAGAGCAGGGAGAGCAGTAGGGTCATTCCCAGGTCCCGTCTCACAAGGGCATGAAACCGCACCACCCTGCCGCACCTGCGATGACGCCAGTGCACCTTGAGCTGGCAGGGCACCCTGCCACTTCCTGGAGAGCCTTTCCATACTCTGCAAAAAGTTCCATTCTCAGCAGGGAGGTTCCCACACTCCCTCCAGTGCACCGGTAGCAAGGACCATGCTGCGGGCCAGCAGGAAGCCTCCAGGTCTTCCTTCCTTGCTTCTACCAGCTGCAGTGTGCTCTGCTTAGAGGTGACTATGAAAGGGAAAACTGCCAGGTGTGATGGTGGGCATCTGTAATCTCAGCATAACAGGAGGCTGAGGCAGGAGCTTTGCAAATTCCACCACAGACTGGGGAACTTAGCGGCTTAGTGAAGCCCTATCTCAAAAATTTAAAAATTTGCCTGGGATATAGCTCAGCGGCACAGCATCTGCCTGGCAAGTGTGATGTTGTGAATTCTATTCCTAGTACAAAATAAATAAATAAATAAAAATAAAAAATAAAAAGGCTGGGGATATAGCTCAATGTAAAAGGAGTTCAGACGTGTGCTCTTCCGATCTAGGAGGAGGAGGAGGAGGAGGAGGAGGAGGAGGAAGAGGAAGAGGAGGGAAAATCAAGTCAACTGTTGGGAGAAGTGCAGAAGAGCCGGGCATGGTGGCCTATGCCTGTAATCAATCAAGCACTTGGAGACTGAAGCAGAAGGATTGGGGTTGGCAGCCAGCTGGCTACACTGTGAGCCTTCCTTTCAATATGCCAAGAAAAAATAAAAGAGGAGGAGCAGAAGGAGGAGACAAGGAGGTAGGAGAGAAAGAGAAGGGATAGCAGACAGGTGGGACATCCCTACTGTCACCCACCAAAAAGACAGGCAGAGACAGAGCTGTCCACTACTGGGGGCTGGAGGGCCTTCACTTTCCTCCCATATCAATCCCATGGAAGTGGAAGAGCAGCTAAATTGTGCAGGGACCACAGTGGCCAGGGGCTAGTTCTAGTCCATCCCCCCATGTCACCACCTGCTCACCCATCCCCTCACCCACCCCATTGCAGGATCTCACAATAAGAGGCGCTTCCGCTTTTTTTATCTACTCAAGCAGCACTCAGCCCCAGGCAGCCTCGAACATTACAAAGCATGTTTATGGCACTCTCAAATCCAGATGCTGTGCACTGCACAGCCACCTTTTGGAACTCTGTGGTTGGTAAACCAGGATAGAAGGGACTTGGGTAAGGCTGGGCCCTGGAGGGCTCCTCCCCTAAGTCCCTACCTTTGGAAAGAAAGGGGACTCTTAAGAGGGGTGGCAGGGGGAGGAGTATAAGATACTGACCCACAGAGTCCCAAAAGGAAGGTCATGGGAACCATATCTGCATTCTAGTGGACCTTTCTGGGGGCCACAGTGTTTCCAGAATCTCAGAGGGAAAGTGGTGACCAAGGGGCAGAGCTATGCAGCCTGGAGGGAGATGTCTGGGGCACAAGATGTCCAGCCCTCTCCACTCCCCATCCTCAATCTGTGAGGGCAGGGCCAAGGGCTGGGGACACTCACCTGCCCTGCGTATTCCAGGGGACCAGGTCCTCCCTGGGCAAACAGAGACGTTGTCAGACAGCCTCACCCACAACCTGCCTTCATTCTCCAAGTCCAGGCTGCTCCTTGTTTAAAATAATTTGCGGCTTCCCAGGGACAAACTTGCCTTCCCTAGCTCTTCGGTCCTCTGTTTCAGGAGCAGGACCCCTCTAAGCCTGCAGGGGAAAGGACTGAAAGGCAGGTAGAGGAATTCCCCCCAAACGCTTACTGCCTGCCGGATAACTGGGGCAGCCTCCCTCCAGTGGGAGGCCCTTAGCATGGTAACTGGGGGCTGGGCCTAGGAAGAATTCATCCAAAGGAGTCAGGTAGGAAGTAGGCAGTCTTGAAGCCCTGCTTGGCACCCCTCTTTTTAGGTTGCAGAGCCCGTCCTCCCTCTTTTCCTATCTACTCCGCCCTGGGGGCTCAGGCATTCTTGCCACCCCTGCCTTTGCCTTTCCTAGCTCCAAATTACATGAGAAATTCCCCATCCTCCAAGGCCCCACCTTCTTATCCCACCTACCTCTGTCTCCCTATTTGCCATCCCAGGTGCCACAATGCCAACTCCAGCTGCCAGCCATTGCCTCCACAGTCCTCTTCCTGAGAACCACAAGAAAGCCCAGGCCCTGCCGAGGGTCCAGGCTCAGCAGGCCCTGGAACAAGCAGTGGTTTGGCACCACTTTTCTGGCCTCCACTGGACCTAAGCCCCAAGGCACACTTTTCATCCAAGCTTGACAGTGACAGATCACTGGGGATCACTCCTCTGCTCAGGTCTGGGGAGCTCCCAACTTCTGGAGCAAAGACATGGGCCAGGGTATGGGGCCTAACTTTCATTTCTCCACTCTGGTCTCAGAGCTGCTTTGGACTCAAATCCTCCTGCCTCCCTGCTCCTGAGTACTCTGTGTAGCTGGCAAACAGAAGATCAACCAGGAGAGCCGCCTGGAATGCTCACCTGGAGAGGAGGGGGTAGGAAGAGGAGGGAAGTGAAGGGGCTGCCCTCTAGGAAAGTTAAGGAGCAAAGCAGCAGCTTTCCAGGAGAGCAAGATCCTCTCAAGTTCCAAACCTCTGTGGGAACTTTCCTGGGGCCGCACCCTGGACAATCCTTCCTCAGCCCTGGGGATCCAAACTGAAGGCTAGAGAGACCAGGGGCCCTGGGCAAGGTCATGGAAGATGGATCTAACTGTGCAGCTCCAGATTCCCTAATGCATAGCACCCCCAGAGCAGGCTGGGGCTCCACCGCCGGCCTTGGGCACCAGCTTCAGCAAGTAAAAGGACCTGGAGCCTATTTGTCTAATAAACGAATGGATGAGACAGTAGGTATGTAAGGCAAGGGAAGAGACCTAAGTTGTCCCCAGAGAGAGAGAGACACCTGTCAAGCAAGTTGTCAGAAAAATAAAAACATCAGAATTGTGACAGGAGACAGACACATCTAAAGAAGATAAAGATGCACCAACCAGGCCTTCGTCTCCTGTAAGGGATAAGCAGTAACTTGGAATTATACTATAATTGGTACCACCTGGTCTAGTAAAGGCCAGCTTAACATCACCCAGGTGAGTGACTGTGGTTTGGGATTTTTGCAAGGGGAACAATACAGGACACATTTTATAAGATTATTTTATAATCACCAAAAAAATCATATACAAGAGTGTAGGGGAAAAAAAAGAGTGTGGGAAATCTGTCCACACACTAAAGACCAAAGATTCCAGCTGAGGGGCTGGATCTTTATATCCTGCATGAATCCAGCTGAAAATCTAGAGCCCACAACAATGCCTCCCACAAGTCCAACTTGAGGCCTAGAGCCCATGTCAATGTCTCATGCAGGCCCACTTCATGGATCCGTGCTGGGAAGGCCCACAGGTCAGTGTGGAAGCTAGGAAGTCAATGCCAGCGATGAAGGATCTGTGTTAGCAGGCTGAAGGATCTGTTGGAGCCAGGAAGCAACACTCAAGGTAAGTACCAGAGCTTCCCAACAGTACCACAGCCATCCTCAGCGACAGTGAGGTCCCGAGCTCCTCCAGCAATGAGGAAAGCCGAGCTCCCATCAGGAAAGGCAACATGACAAGCTTCTCCACAAGGCTGAGAAGTGCACCATCTTTCCCCCTGGAGCCAGGAAGTGATGTTCAAGATGAGGAGCAGGGCTCCCCCAAAATGAACCTCAGCCATTCTCAGTGACAATGAGGTCCTGAACTCCTCCTCTGACAAGAACAGCCAAGTTCACCAGGAAAGCCAGCGTGACAAGGTCCTCCAGCAAAATAGCCCAAGAGGACCAGCAGTTTCCAACAGCTCTAACAACTTCTCCAAACAGCATCCCTCCCAGCCTCCCAGCAGCTTCTCCAGTTTTGCCTCTTCTGCTGCTGGCAACAATCCTCAGGTGGGCTTCCCACACCCAGCGCCATGCTAGTTCTATTCAGCTCGGTGCCAACAAGTTGGCCACCAGTTAAGAATCCACTACAGTGACCAAAGCATGCATACCCATTTCTCCCCAAAAATGCCTTTGTTTTTTTCCTGTACCCTTGCTACATGACTTGCTTCTCTTCTGGATCAATACTGGCTAAGCAGCTATACCTTATTGGTTGATCATAGTACCCACATTGTACTCACTCATGATTGTGCTCTGTAAAACATTGTTGGAGAAGTGGTCTCAGTGACTCTTGTCTCTCAGGAGTTTCTCTCAAATCTTTCCAACCCTTTTGTTTTTGTTTGCTTTTTGTACCAGGAATCAAACTTATGACTTGATGCT